GTCGGCTACTCGGCTGGTGCTCCTTGCAGCGGCGATGTTGCTGGCGTCAACTATTTCAAGTCGCTAAATTCAGTTTAAATTCATCTCTCCTTTTTATTATTTATAATTTTATCTGTGGTTTTATTGTTCTTGTTTTGATTGTAAAGTGTCCTTGAGTCTTTTGAAAGGCGCTTATAAATGAAATGTATTATTATTATTATTATTATTATGTGAACCAGATTCAATGATGGCATATGACATTAATGCCCGGTCTCAACAGCCTCTGTGATCATTTTTATGTATTTATTTAATTCAATTTATGATTAATTAATCCTGGGCCTGTTCTTTTGTAAATCCATGAGACTTAATGAACTTCGTTGTCAATTTATTTGTTTTCCTTTTCCCATTGATTTCATGGTGGACTGGCCATGGACTTACTTTGTTCTTTTGATTAAGCCCTTGGATTGTTATTTTGGGTTATGTGGCTGTGAGTAGTGATGTCAAAACGAGGCCTTCTGAAGCTTTGAACCTTTTTTGAATCATTGTGTCATAAAATGGTTCACTACCCGAAGCTTCACCCTTACCCTTGGGTGACCTCTAGTGTCAGTAGGGATAATTGTGCATTTAGATTAATCCGAAATAACCACAAAAAATGTGATGTGCTTCTTGTGTATAATAACACTCAACACAGCAATTTTTTCATGTGGAAATTTGTCAAATGACTTGACAATGGCAGTGGTCCATCCATCCGTCCGCTTATCTGGGGTCGGGTCGCGGGGGCAGCAGCTTTAGCAGGGAAGCCCAGACTTCCCTCTACCTAGCCACTTCTTCCAGCTCTCCATGGGGGATCCCGAGGCGTTCCCAGGCCAGCTGGGTGACATAGTCTCTCCAGCGTGTCCTGGGTCATCCCCGGGGTCTCCTCCCGGTGGGACATGCCCAGAACACCTCACCAGGGAGGCGTTCAGGAGGCATCCTAATCAGATGCCTGAGCCACCTCATCTAGCTCCTCTCGATATAGAGGAGAAGCGGCTCGACTCTGAGCCCCTCGCGGATGACCGAGCTTCTCACCCTATCTCTAAAGCCCCGTTCACACGGCAACGTTTGGTCCGACGCAGCTCCGAAATAAATCCAGTCGAGCATTCACACGTGCACACTTGCTCCGGCGTAGCTCCACTAAAGAGCTTATACCGGACCAAATTTGATCCACCTCAGGGAGGTGGTTTAAAAATTTGCTCCAGAGCAAATGCTCGTTTGCGACGCTACGCCGAAACAAATGTGCACGTGTGAACGCAGCTGGATTAAATTTGCTCCAGAGCAAATGCTCGCTTGCGGGGGAGTGGCCTCGCTACGCTCGCTACCAGATGCCCGGAATCCGACCCCGGTCGACAGTGACGAGGGGGCCAGCGACACAGACGAAGCCCGGCCGTGGACCCCCGTTCCCGGTAAAAGTGTCGGCGATTTAAGCGGTGAAGACAGCGCTCACGATCAAGATGAGAATCGAGAAAGCAGTGATGTCAGCCGAGCCCGATTTGCAGGCCCGAGCCCGAAGCAAACCCGACATTTCATATTTTATTTGTGAGTATTTTTGGGAGAAAAAAAAAACAAGATTTCTTACGGTTAAAATAATCTACATATTTTTATGAACAT